TGATTAAATTAGATTAAAATAAGCCAATTAAAGAGTTGGACTTAATTATCGTTTTGCCCTTGAGTGGGCCACTACCTCTATACCTTGAGCTCATTATACTTGAGCCAAAACATTTTCCTCAGCCCATTCCTGTGCTCTAGCCGACCTTAGAGAGAGAGAGGAGCTAGAAGAGTTGAGTTCAACTTGCTTTCATTGTGAATTGGCTAGAATTACTTGAAGATTGAAGGTTGATTACTAATTTGAGCTCCCTCACTTCTAATCCTACACCTAAGGTAGATCATTCATCATCTTAATGATGTCATTGAGCTAAGTTCTTGCATGATTCATGCTTCATTGTAGAACTAGTCATGAATTGGTTCATTGTTGTTAAATTGAAGCTTAATTGTTGTATGCATGTACATATATTGAAGTTTTGAGGTTGTAAGTCCATGTTTCCTCACATGCATGTCCATCTTTTGGTCATACTCCATGAATTCATCATGTTCTTGAAGAAATGAGTCCATTTGAACAAGCTTTGAAGGTTGAATTTGTTTGAATCCATGCATGTTTGCATGTTCTTCATATTCTTGAAATGGGTTTGAATATGGTTTTAATTGACTCACCTTTGGAGCTTGAATTCATAAATTGAGCTTTGAAACTTGTCATACATTGAATTTAGTTTATGTTTTCCAGAATTTGGGCCCAAGAGTCGAGTTTGAGTGGTGAATGCTTGGTTTGAGCTTGGAGGCAAATCTGGAAATTCCAGATTTGGCTTCCTCGCTCGAGCGAATGGTTCCCCGCTTGAGCGAGCACCTTTGTCCAGGGCTCGCTCGAGCGACCATCGAGCGACCATCGCGCGATAAAATCACAGCATCCAGTATTTTTACTGTTTCGACAGACTGCTCGAGCGAAGGATTCCTCGCTCGAGCGAAGCCTTTGATTTTGGAAGCCCGCTCGAGCGAAGAAAGTCTCGCTCGAAGCGAGGTTCCTATTTTTCAGCAAACTTTGCAAAAATGTTTCTAAGTGTATTTTTTGCATTGCCTCATC